CGTTTTGTAAGATGAGGAAATGAGTAGCCATCAACTACTGGAACCTAGGAGGTTGGAGCAAAAATATCTCAAATCTGACATAGAGTTGATTTCCCCTTCAATGGGTTTAATGAAATGGTTTCCATTCCCTTGGAGTATCCAAGAACTAACCAGCTCAAACATATAATTACAAAGTGTACACTACCCAAGCTATTCCGAATACTCCTAATACATAATGTAGAAGTTGTGCTTGAGGAATTTACCACATGAGTAACACCATCACCGGAGTCAATAACTAATCCTGTTAACAAACCTGTAAAAAAACAAGGAAATGCTGAAGCCCATGTCCAAAAGAAGCAAAAGTATAGCTAAACATAAGTAGCAACAGTTGTTATAGTATGTTATGGACTGTTCCAACATATAATTCTGGCAAGTCACACTAGTGCTTTCACTCTCCCCATCAATGTTTTCCAAGCATGGTAGATACAAAGCCACGTACTTATTTGTAGGAATAACAAGAACTAAACAAGAAGGGGAGATATAAAAGAAGTGGGGGGGAACAGAAATATAAACATTTAACCTTTAATCATCTTTATAAGCACCTTGAGCATACAATGTTAATACAGCTTGAATTTGTATGAAGACACCAGCAAAATTGTATTTCTCAAACATGGTCTCAACCTGAAATGTTGAATCAAGCCAAACCATGAGATGCCAACGCTATATTCACAATATTTATTATGGTACAGATACGATTACCAAAAAAAAAAAAAAAAAAACTTAATAGTATATAGATTGCAAAACAAACCATTTTTTCACGGTTCTTTGAAGGATTGAGAGGCGGGTCCGTGAGTAGTATCTGACATTCAGTAGGATCTATCTGTTGACACAAAACAGGCAACAGAGTTATTAACAATCCGGATGAAACTATAATAACAAAATTGACAATCAAGGGCAGTAAGAAGTTTACCTTTAGTTCACTGTAGAATGCATGGTCCCAGACATGGCCCATATCATCCCAGTTTTGCACGATGCCGTTGTTAACCGGGTAATTTATATCCAACTGATGCCGAAATTCTGCGCAAGCTTCTCCAACAATGACATCCTAAATGCATTTATAAAATTGAAGGGAGGAAAAAAGGGCTGTCAAAAGTCAGAACTAATAATTAAATCACAAGCTGTAGGGGATGAGCCACTTAAGGACATACAAAATTCTTAACCTTGAGTAAAGTTGGACTAGAAAGAGTGCATATTGTGTCCAAAAAGAAATGAAAAGTATTAACCTTGATTTCTTGTTCCATGAGTGATTCCTCATAGCGAAGCAGTGGCCTTCCAACTACGCAAGGGAACACAGAGGTAGGGAAATTCTCTCCAGCAAAGCCACATTTCACATACTGCAATTAAAGCAAACAAATTTGACAAAGTTACAAAACCAAAAGTAGATGATGATGATTCTAACACCTACAGATCCAAAACAGAGGTGAACTTTTGATTTGCAGCTCTGCCTCTGAATCAGTTAACTCCAAATTTACGAACACCAAACAAACTTCCAAGAAAGAAAGTGTCAATATGTGCTGGATCGATGAAATCTTTCAACGCAGATTAGAATACTGTGCGTTACTGTGCTTGTGAGAGAAACAAGAAAAGTTAGACAGAGGAGAAGAGTACCCCGGTGCCATTGTCGCAGACGACGACATTTCGGTTGTTCATGTTCAGCTGCTGTTGACAGTTGCTGCAGCTATTGCTGTTTTTGCTGGTTTCATCTACCGCATATCTTCAAACCGAAGTGCGTCCAACTGCAGCAAAGAGTGACGGGCTTTCTTCGTGATCGTGATGCCAAACGACGTCGTATCTTCATTTACTTTTTTATATTTTGGGCCGGAGGCCCAGAGTTTAAAATTGAGCCTGGATGGACTTATTAAGGCGCCCTCACTATAGAATGACTCGGTCATGCAAAAGGCCAGCGCTTAACTCATTTCAAGGCCCAGCCCGTAAAGGTGCAGTTAGTTAATATATAAATCGTGAGGCTTTCTTCTAGGGTTTACGCCGTTCGCAGGTTTCAGAGGTACCCAGCAAACTTGAAGAGCAGCCTGCGCAAATGGTGAGTACTAGACCCTTCTTCATCAACATCTGTCTCCCATTTTTAGCTCTGGCTGCATAGGAACTTGTATTTAATCATCAACGTCTTCGTTTCCTTTTAAAATATTCATTGTGTTTTCTCAACCTAATCGATGCAGGCTCCGAAAAGAGGTGTCAAAGCTCCAGTCGCAGCGAAGAAGAAGACGGTACGTATTTCCTATGTCAATATATTGTATAATGATTTTTGCTATTTGCTTCTTTTAATAGATGAGTGTTAGGGTGTATATAGTGATTGTGATGGTTTTTTTGTGGTGGCTACAGGAGAAAGTGGTGAACCCACTGTTCGAGAAACGTCCCAAACAGTTTGGGATTGGAGGGGCATTGCCTCCAAAGAGAGATCTTACCCGTTTCGTGAAATGGCCCAAGGTTGTTCAAGTTCAGAGGAAGAAAAGGATCCTCAAGCAGAGGTTGAAGGTTCCACCAGCTTTGAACCAGTTCACCAAGACCCTCGACAAGAACCTGGGTAATCATGTTAACCCTCACATTTCTCTTGTTTCTTTTTCTTTTTGTTTCTCCGTAAAATTTATTTTTATGGAGATGATTGTTTGTTAATCTAAATATAACTGTTAGGTTTTTCTTTTAGGCGAACATTAGACAGTGTGGTTGAAATTTAGATTGGATCAATAAGTTTATTGAGCAGTGTTTTTTTGTCTGTTCAGGACTGCCATTGACAAGTTTCTTAATTCTGTGTTATGTTGCAATACCACTTTTGCGTTATACTTTCCACGTTGCTATGCATTTTGTTGAATCTCAAAGTTTGGCAGTATGTTGAAGGAAATGTGGAATGTTGATGCTAGCTATTACCAACATTTAGCATAATGGGTTGTTTCCTGGATTTGTTTGAAATTGTATCTAGTTATGCCTTGTAACCCGTTTTCATGATTTGATGCTTGATGTGTTGTATGTATAATGTACATTGTATTTTGTGGAAATACTGAAACTAGAACGTTGTTTCCTAAACCTTTGTGCAGCTACCAGCCTGTTCAAGATGCTCCTCAAGTATAGGCCAGAAGACAAAGCCGCAAAGAAGGAGCGCCTTTTGAAGAGGGCACAAGCAGAGTCTGAGGGAAAAACTGTTGAAGCCAAAAAACCTATTGTTGTGAAATATGGTCTCAACCATGTCACCTACCTCATTGAGCAGGTCTTGTTCCCTGCCACTTCCATGTGTTTTATATTCCTTGTCAATGTGCTCGCGTTTGTGTAATGAATTTTTTTTTCAATTGCATTTTGCTTGCAGAACAAAGCCCAGCTTGTTGTTATCGCACATGATGTTGACCCAATAGAGTTGGTGGTTTGGCTGCCTGCATTATGTAGGAAGATGGAAATCCCATATTGCATAGTGAAGGGCAAAGCACGCTTGGGATCGGTAATTTTACTTATATGTCTGCGTTCTCAGCTTTCATGGCCTCTTTGACAAAAAAATAGGACCGAATTAACTTTTATTTGCTTTTCTGTCAGATTGTCCATAAGAAAACTGCATCAGTTTTGTGCTTGACAACAGTCAAGAATGAAGATAAATTGGAGTTCAGCAAGGTGCTAGAGGCAATCAAGGTATGGTAGAATTAACCTTTTGCAATTTTTGTTGATGCAGTTGCTTGAACTTGTTCGTATTATGGTTGGTGGAATGCTTAATCCATGGTGTTTCACTTGGTTGCAGGCCAACTTCAATGACAAGTATGATGAGTACAGGAAAAAGTGGGGTGGTGGCATCATGGGTTCCAAATCCCAGGCCAAAACTAGGGCGAAAGAGAGGCTCCTAGCAAAAGAAGCTGCTCAAAGGATGAATTAAATTTTGGTTGATCTTGTATTTCTTTTTTACTTAGGATAAGATTGTCCGGGTCTGGTTCTAGAATTCTGATTGTTCAAGTTTATTTAGATCAACCGCAGAGGTTTTGTTTCCTGAGGATGCGTCTGAGGCTGCAATGTTGTTTAGCTGTTTGGATTAGACTTATTCATGGACATGCCCTTTTTGTTACGGTTGTTGGGTTTTCTAATGATTATCATTTATTTTACATTTCATGATTACAATTTCTGTGCGATGATATTTCTTGTTTCTTAGTCATAGAATAGAATAGGGTTTAAAGTTCTGTTTGGTTTCCATTTCTTTATTATGGTTTTCCATTTTTTATTTTGGTTCATTTAACTGTGATTGACCTCAATTGAACTTACTCTAATTATCCATTACCTGCATATATGCTGGTTTTGCTAGTTGGTCAGGATTTGGCTAACTAATCCGTTACCTGCATGTATGTGGGTTTGTCTAGTTGGCTAGGTTCAGGGTTTGGCTAGTTGGCTAGGTATTTTTGGGACAAACGGGTTTGGCTAGTTGGTAGGGCAATTATCTTTTCTGTTTTTCCAAAGAGAACGAACCCATTATCTTTAAGTAGACTATGTTTAAGAGAGAGTGGTGAAAACAAGAGTGGACATGTGTTTTGAAGTTTTATTTATTTATTTAAGGTTTATTACACCTTCAGTGTATTAGTTTTTTTTTTTTTTTTTTTTTTTTTTTTTTTTTTTTTTTTTTTTTTTTTTTTTTTTTTTTTTTTTTTTTTTTTTTTTTTTTTTTTTTTTTTTTTTTTTCTTTTGATGCAATTTAAAGATTATGCATTTCTCCCTCTCTCATTTTAGTACTTTTAAAACTCGTTTATAGATGCGAAAATGTTGCCTAATTAACTTTTTTTTTTAAAAGAAAAAAACATTTTTTGTTGTTGGAAGAGATGCTTTATTAAAAAAATAATATGCACCAAGAGAGTACAAAGATAGCAATTAGAAGAAAAAAAACATTTAAGAAAAGAAGAAACTTTGCAATTATTTTTCCCCTAAATAAAAAATTCGTTATATTTTAACATTTTTAACTGAAAAAACAAATTCCAGTGCCTTAATTGCATATATAGAGTTTTGCGAGGTCTCCACAAAAATACACTCGCTTCGGTTGTTCTGATCATACACATCCCAAACCCTCACCCTCTCTCTCTGACCCTCTGCGACCTCTCTCTCTGACCCTCTGCGACCTCTCTCTCTTATTCGCCAGCCCTGCAATTCCTCAAACCCTAGAAATCTCTCTCTGTCTGTCTCCGTGTAATTTACGTCATCTGCGAGTGTTCGATTGCAGAAGCTATTTTCGTTTCCTCTTTCTCTATCCTCATCTCGAAGCATAATTAGCTGCGCTCTCTCTTCTCTGACATTTGCCTGGAAATCTTCTGTAATTCGAATCGTTTTGGATGCCGATGGCCCACGGAAAAGTCAGTCTTCCTCAAGATCTCCTCCCCGCGAACATGGCCGATGCACACTTCTCCACCAACGGTTCGTGTTCTTGGGCTTTTCTCAATCCGTATCTCTTCACATTGCATCCTTTCTCGCTATTTATCATTCTCATTCTTGTTATTCGCATATATATATATTTTCTCCTCGATCTTTCTCGCTATTACAAATTGGTCCTGGTTTCAATAATTCGTCAGTGTACCTATACAGTGTTTATACATATCTCATATTAATATACATATCTCATATTAATATACATATCTTTATACTTATATATCTATTATTCGTCTAGCTGATTAATTAGGGTTGGTGTTGTTGATTCTTTTTTCTTAGTAGTTTTATATTATCTTCAGATAACATACATGTATATGCATAATTTATATTTCATGCATTAAGAGCTTTTGGATGTTCATGATATTGTTATTGCATTGTGTTTTGTTGTTTATTTGAACACAAAATTTTGAATTATTCTGTTGCCAAGGTGTTCCTGTCCTTTGTCTTTCATTAGTAGTACAGTATCTTTTGCTTGTAATTTTCATTAGAATTTCAGTAGTGTATCGAACACTGTTATTTCCCCCTATTTTAAGTTTACCTACGGTGGGTGAACTGCTTGGATTTTCATATTATGGACACTCTGCTTTCCAAAAATTTAAGTAAATGTATCTCTCTGTTTGCCATTTTAGATGAAGCCTTGGAAGGAAATGGTGAGGAGAAGGCGCTAACAGGGTCCCTTGATGAGTCAATTGGTGGTTGTGCTCCTTTTCTAAGTTTGCATTGTTTTCCACATATGCGATTTTGTTCACCTTATTGGCTATCATTTTACTGTTTTTATCATGAATACCGCAGGTGCCTGTAAATTAATTAATTTATTATGATCTTAATTGCAGATCAAGTAGCATCCGAGAGCAGCATACCTTTGTCTCCACAATGGCTATACGCTAAACCAGTTGATTCCAAGACACTGGTTACTGGAACATCAGGAGTATGTACATTGCATTTCTTTTTTCTTTTTTCTTTTTCCAAATTTGCTCTTATTGCTGTTTCAATAAGCTATATATACAAGTATATTTGTTTTTTGTGGTCCAGTGTGTCAGTTCGTTTCTACTGTTATTTATAATAAAGTGATTTTAACTAAATCTTTAATGTTAGTGTGGCTTAATACAAGTGCATCTACACTTGTCAGATTTTTTTGTTTTGAGAGAACGCTTTGATATCTTAACTCTCTTTCTCACCCCCCCTCTACACTTTTAAAAAAGCTTTATCTTTCTGCACACCATAATTTATGAAATTCTAGTACCTTAAGTGCATTAGTGTGGTTGTAAGCCTCTCAATTTGTATTTTCTATACCCTTTTGTTGTTCTGCGTTTTCATGTCTGCCCAGCCTGTGAATTCAATTTCTTGGTATGCTTAATGTGTTAAATCCTGCATCTGATCTATCGGTTGAATTGGAAAAAAAAAAAAAACTATGATTTATGCTAAGACCCAATTTTAGATCTTATCTTTTTGGCTATTAGAAGAGTTTAGTGCATTTTGTCTTCATAGTTGACTAGTGATTAGAAGTTAACCAATTTTTGAATACCGATAAAAATGACAGGAAATGCATGCACCTGGTTCTTTGCCTCATGGAAACTCTTCTGATCCCAATTCGAGAGACACTTGGCATTTAGATGGATCTCAGGACAAAAAAGATTGGAGGAGGAATGCACCTGATTTAGATATTCCCCGCCGTTGGCGTGAGGAGGAGAGGGAAACAGGCTTACTTGGTAGGAGGGATCGCAAGAAAGAGGATCGCCGTGTAGGTGTCACTTCAACTAGGGATACTACTGATGGTAGAGCAGAAGATCGCCATGTAGGTGCCACTTCAACTAAGGATGTTACTGAGAATAAAGTACTGTCTTCTGACCGCTGGCATGAATCCCGAAGAGATAACAAATGGTCATCAAGGTGGGGCCCTGAAGATAAAGACAAGGACTCTCGAATAGAGAAAAAAACAGATGTTGAGAAGGAAGATATTCATGTTGACAAGCAGTCTCTTTCCAATAGCAATCGTGCAGCTTCTGAACGTGATAGTGATTCTCGGGATAAGTGGAGGCCACGCCATCGCATGGAGGTTCAATCAGGTGGGGCAGCCCCATATCGTGCCGCACCGGGATTTGGGATGGCTAGAGGACAGGTGGAAAAAGTAGGATTTACTGCTGGACGAGGGAGGTTAAACACTAACGGAACTCTGCAGATTGGCAGACCTGTATTAGGAAAAGCTAGTCCCTTTCTCAATATGTATTGCTACCCCAGGGGGAAACTCCTTGACATTTATCGTAAGCAAAAGATTGATTTAACTTTTGATTCCATGCCTGATGGGATGGAGCAGGTATCACCAATAACCCAAGTAGGCTCTACTGAGCCATTGGCTTTTGTTGCACCTGATGCAGATGAAGAGGTATATGGATTGTATACTAAATTTTTTTAAATATCCACACATGCTTGCATATATATATATATATATATATGTAGAAATCTATGACATGTTTATTTCTTGATAACGTACTTGCTCTCTAATTATAATAGTTAAATAAGCAAGTGGTGAAATGTTTCTTTGATCACTATTATTTACTGATGTGATGCTTTCAGGCTTGCCTGAGAGATATATTGAAGGGAAGCATTACTAGCAGTGGAGTGTTATACAACTCCCCTAAAGACAAGAATGTATTAAAAGATGATTCTAAAGGTATTAAGTTGCATTCTGTTGGACTCCTGCCTAATAATCCTCATCATTTCTTTCTGATACAAGTTTTCTCATTTACTCAGGAACTAGTAATGTCACTTTAAGCAAAGAGGAAGGAAACTTTGCAGCTAACAGTGAACAAAATGTCCAATCTACTGGAGAGGTCATTTTAAACAATTCTTTTCAAGTTACTGGTCCTGAGGTGTCACCTATTTGTGGCTCACAGGCGCATATTTTAAAGGGTAAGGAAAAGCAGTTTTAACCTAATATTCTGGTTCCTTCGTTTGATACTTTTGGTATTGTTGTCATGTGTTGTATGTTAAAACACTCCATTTTTTTGCAGAAAGTGTTGCTACTGAAGGTGAGCAGAAAGTTCTGACAGTCAAAGCACCGGCTGATGGAGGGATTGATGGCCCCAGCAATGACGTTACTGAACTGAGAAATTCTGGATACCAGGAGGTGAGATATTTTGGTTTGCAGAAGCATCCTTTGTTGGACCATGTTACATCAGAACAGTTGAAATTGATAGCCAGCTTCTTAATAATCCAAGTTCCTTATTTTATTTTCCATCTTTACAGCAAACCTCAAGCAGTGATCGTCACTATGTCAAGAGCAACGAGGCGCATGTGTCAGACAGAATTGTCTCACCCGAGGATTTAAGTTTGTGCTATCTTGATCCCCAAGGGAACACCCAGGGACCTTTCTTGGGGATTGACATAATCGCATGGTTTGAGCAAGGGTTTTTTGGAATTGACTTACCAGTCCGCTTGTTTGATGCCCCTGATGGATCTCCTTATCAAGAACTTGGTGATGTGATGCCACATCTGAAAACTAAATCTGGATATGTCTCTAACTCTAGTTTGCATGCTAAGCTAGAGCCGTTGGATGTCATTAAAGGCAGCTTGGAAGAGAGAATATCTGCACCTAACTCTGGGGGGTCTAATATTCTAAATAGTCAGCAGTGGACTCCATCTGTATTGGAGGCTACCCCAAGTGATAGTGTTCAATCAAGAATCCCTAATCATAGTTATCAGTCTGAACTCCAGTACCTTGACAATCAAAGCATTCAAAATTTTGTTGCAGAAGATGAAGGTGTGTTATGCGTCTTATCATTTTCTATGTTTATGTCTATGTTGTCACTTTAATTGCTTCTCTTTTTTGTTGTATGCAGAAATTGTATTTCCTGGAAGGCCTAAAAGTAGCAGTGATTGCCTTTTGAGGTCTTCAGTGGACGTTCATGGCTCAATTTCAAATTCTCCTAGCCTTCCTTCCCTTTCAAATGAAGTTTCAGAAACTAACCTGCCTAGTCAGCCGAATGATAAGTTGCATCCTTTTGGCCTGTTGATGTCAGAGCTTAGAGGTAGTTCCCATTTAAGGTCTGCTCAATCATCCCATGCGTCTTTAGGCATGGATGATCAGGTTCAGTTGAGAGATTCTTTCTTTGAAGGAGGTGCCACTATTGCTAGTCAGAATCCCCTTGGTCCCATGATTGATCAACCTTCCTTTGTGGATACACAGTCTGATAATTATATAAGAAATAACGCTAATGTTAGTCTGGGTTCTATAGATGCTCACCATCTTTCTCGATTGGGGAAAGAAATCAGTGGCTTCGGCCTTGCTGAGCATATAATGCCACAGAAGTTACAAAAAGAACGGCTTCAGCAGCTGAGCCATCCATCTCTGCTTCCTGCTGCGCATGGTGCAGGGACTGGTGTAGACCAATTCCCTGGATTTGGTTTTTCTGACAGCAATAACCCTAATATCCAGCCGTTCCATCATCCTGTTGCAGATATGGAGCATCTCTTTGAACTACAGCGTCAACAGCAGCGTCAGTTGGAGCTTCGCCAACAGCATCACCAATTGGAGCTTCAGCAACATCAGCATCAGTTGGAGCTTCAGCAACGTCAGCGTCAGTTGGAGCTCCAGCAACACCAGCGTCAGTTGGAGTTTCAGCAACACCAGCGTCAGCTGGAACTTCAGCAACGCCAGCGTCAGTTGGAGCTTCAGCAACAGCATCACTTGAAACAGCAGCTTCAACATCACCAGATGAAACTGCAGCAGCAACAGCAATCTCAAACTCAACACTTGCTCCTTGAACAATTTTTGCATCAACAGATGTCTGATTCTGGTTATGGGCAATGGAAGATTGATGCCACAAATGGGAACCCTTTAGATCAATTAAGTTTAAGGAAGCAATTTCGAAATGACTTGCACCCTTCCCATTCCTCCATACAGGATCCATTGCTAGAGCAGATCATCCAAGCAAATATAGGACGCCCTGGACAGACTGATTTTCTTGACCTCATATCTCAGGCCAAGCAAGGGAATATGCACCCTTCAGAGCTGCAACTTCGTTTTCAGCAGCAAGAGTTGCAGGCACAGCAGTTATCTGTGGCATTGAGGGAGCAGCTGCAGATGGAAGGGGAAAGACGTTTAGGTGGTCCTCGGTTTGCAGATGAAGCAAGTCATGTTGCCAGGGATCCTGCTGGCCATCACCAGGCTCAGATGGTTGCATTTAGTTCTTCAGAAAATTACCAGCAACAGCAGAGGTTTCCCACCCATGAACAGCAACTAAGCCATCTCAACTGGAATCATGACTCACGGGAGCGACATGGGATGAACTTTGATATTCAGAATGCATATTGTCAGGGTCTAGATTTGCAGGATCAGTATCTGCGTAAGTGCTCTATTGATAAACAGGACTCCATTTCTTCTGGGATGCCCTCTAACCGTCAACTGGTTTCTGATGAGTTTTTTTCTTCTCATTCAGTTGGTTTGGAACGCTTACCCTGTGGGAACAGTGGGCAGCTGGAAAATAGCTGCATTGAAGCACATCGACCGCATTTGCATCTTGATACTGAACAAAAACGACGAGATTCAGAAGCTACCATGGCTTTTGCTGAGTCAAATATGTGGGCTAATGGTGATAAGGAACACTCAAAACAAATTTTGATGGACCTTCACCAAAAACTGGGTCATCAATCTACCGAGTTATCAGAAGTTGATTATCAGCATCAGTTATCATCTTCCAGAAGTCGGGGAGGGTCTGTACATCTTCCATTTAGTCTTCTCCGGGATCAACCAGTTGGTATGAACACAGAAGGACCACAGAATTCCAACTATAATGTTTTGTTCCAGGACCATTTGGGTGGTGTAGGTATGAATGAACAGTCAAGCAATCTGGCAACTAGTGAAAGAGTTCCGTTTAGATCTAATTCCAGAGCATTTATGGAGGATCAGCTGTTCGTGTCTGGACCTAGGGACGTTTCTCATACTTCTCATGTGGATACTAGCTTCATGTGTAAATCAGCTGTGAGTGATGGTGTGTCAGAGTTGGAGGGTAATAATTGGAAGAAACAAGGGGTGAAAGGCATGTTGAGCAGGTCAGTTTCAGGGTACGAAGGAAACGTGACAGACCAAGAAGAAACTGCAATTGATTGCGGGGAACTTCGTAGTAATGCCCATAGCAGGCAAAGCTCACTAAGCAGTGCTGGTAATTTGTCAAATGATCTTCATTTTTAGTTAATCTCATTTTCATTTTAAACGAGTTTGAAACTCTTTAAATGGTACAGGTGGTGGATGTGGGAACTTCTACAGCTCAGAGACAGGATTAGATAAACAGATTGGAGAAGAGGTTTCTAATGGGAGGTAGTGTTCTTTTTCTTTTTCTTTTTTTCCTTTCTTTGTTTAATAGAATTACCTTTTCCTTTGATTTTTTTGGTTTATGGTCACTTTGCATTAACCTGTGTCCCTATGTGCGTCATTTTGATTATTCATGATTCTCTAGTGATGTGCAATTAGCTGGTGGATGTAACTGATTTTGTTTCCTTTAATAAACACTTATAGTGTTATTTTCATTACAGTTTGCACATTAGGGATATCTCCTAATTCATATTCTGAATTCCCTGTTAGACTGTTATCAGTCTCATTGTATTCTTTATGCTCCATTGACAGGCTGCCTCCTGCTATAACCAAAGGGTCTGACAATGCTTTGCATAGACGCCGAGTTTTATCTTCCCAGGATGTCTTGTCTGAGGCAGCATTATCTCTGCCTGTCAAGCAAAGAAATCCGCCCGCAACCCTTGTCTCTGATACTCAAGCATCTAGCAAGAACGATGCGCAATTTAGGAGGACTTCATCTTGCAGTGATGCTTCTGTGTCCGAGACATCATTCATAGACATGCTCAAGAAACCAGTCATTGCAGAGGCTGATGCAGCCAACAGAGCAGCATCTGCATTGGAGTCGTCTGATGGAGGTAGCCAAGTGGGGCGAAGTGGCAAGAAGAAAGGGAAGAAAGGAAGGCAGATTGATCCTGCTCTCCTTGGTTTTAAGGTTTCCAGCAACCGGATACTGATGGGCGAGATCCATCGACTCGCTGATTGAGACATGCTTTGCATCCTGTAAGATTTCTCTTTTTTTGGTGTAGAAGTTGTACAGCAAATTTAAGAAACATAGATATCTTGGGGATTTTTCCCCTTTTAAGTTGTCCATTCTTCTTGTTTCGAAGTTAGAGCATTGACGTAGTTTTGAAGCCTTACAGTGGTTGACCGGAATATAGTGTACATGAGGAAGAGAGGTCATTGACAAATGTCAATTTTTGTACCAGTGTATCAATGAAAAAAAATTTTGTTTACAACAAACTGTCCTTAATTTGTTTTTTCTTCTTCTTATTATTATTATTATTTTCTTATTATCAATTTCTTATGAGATGACAGACGAATCATCCGGAAAATGGATATTTGCAGATGGTGCATCACTTGGATGATAATTTCAACAAAAAAAAAAAGAAAAAGAAAAATAAGAAGATGATGTTACATACGTGATTTCACCGAGGCTGGACGTAAGCCTTCCCCTCCCAAAATATTTGGATGACTATAATTCAAGCCTCTGGCTTGCTATGTACGCGTAAGGCGTAATAAGTTGCCAGTCATATCATAGTCAACGTCAAATTTAGACCCACCACGTTGCACTTGAGTTTCTCTCTCTTTTTCTCTTCTCCTTCTGTTTCTCTCTGGTTTTCTTTGATCAGTTTTTTGTTTTTGGGGTTGTCCCTCTCTTCCTCTCTGAGATTGCGTTGAGGGTTGTCGTTGGAACGTACGTCCTCCCAGGCTTAGCCTGTGTAAGGCCAGAGAGGCCTGCCTCGCTACAGCCATGGGTTCCGTTGCTATGGAACCGGAGGACATAGCAACCTACGCCACCACCCATTCAATTCCGCTGAAGAATTTCACCACCATTTGTACGTCGGTGACCATGATACATTCCATGGGCTTTTTCTATCATAATAATCCCCTGCTTTATTCAGCCCCTCTTCTTCTCATGCAATTCTCTCTCGCCACTGGTGTTATCCTCCTCACCTCTCTCCTCCTCAAGCCTCTCGGCCAACCCATCATCGTCGCGCAAGTCTTAGTAAGTACCTCCATATTATTCTCTATCATTCATTATAACACCATCATCAAGTTCTTTCCATTTCCAAATTCAATCTCTCATTGCAACACAAATAAAGAAAAACAGAGAGGTTTAGGTTTACATTGCATGCATGCAGCATAATGCAAAACTTTATTGTATTTTAAAATAGCAAAATAAAAACAAAAAAATATAAAATTTTGTTGATTGGTTATGATTTACCTAACAGGGGGGTATAATACTAGGTCCTTCGATTCTAGGCCGGATTGATGCATTTATCGATAGTTTTTTTCCTCTCAGAAGTTTCATACTGCTGGATGTTATTTCCTCTTTTGGATTCATGTTCTACTTCTTCCTCATCGGAGTGCAAACCGATCCCTCCATCGTCAAGAAGATCGACAGAAAGACATTTGCCATTGGGTTTGTGACAGTGGCCATCCCTTTTCTATTGACTCAAGGATGGTCTGCTCTCTTGAAAACCCACGTCAATTTGGAGACGAACCTCGCCAATTCACTTCCGGCTGTGGCTCTAGCAGAGTGTGTGCTGACCTTCCCAACAATCGCTTTCTTTCTGCACGAGCTGAAGATCATCAACTCTGACTTTGGGAGGGTGGCAATGTCTTCTTCCATTGTGAGCGGCTTGTGCAGCTTGTGTGTGATGACAATCTCTATTGTGGCCAAGATATCGTCCGGAAATGATACATACAACGTGCTATCAGTAGTGGCCACCGGTGCTGTGGTTGCGCTTGTCATCGTTTTGGTCATTTGGCCCGTACTCAAATGGATGATGCGGAGGTCGAGCCCAGTGGGACAGCCAATGAAGGAAAGTCACGTGGTTCATCTACTTCTTGGGGTCATGGTGACTGGCCTTTTCAGTCATGCCACAGGTTTACACACATACTATGGACCTTTCATTCTTGGGTTGACGATACCGGCAGGGCCACCAGTCGGGTCTGCTCTCGTGGAGAAGCTCGACCTCATCATCTCCTGGGTCTTTATGCCCATCTTCTACGCCAAAAATGGTTTGGTTATGGATCTCTGCGCCCTTCGACTCAAAAATTATACCATCTTGCAATCCACCGCCCTCGTTGGTGCATTTGGCAAGTTTATGGGAGCTTTTCTGACTTCACTCTTGTGCACCAAAATGCCAATCACGGATGCTATCTCGCTTGGCCTTGTCCTGAATGCCCAAGGCTTTCTCGAGCTTGGATTGTTTAAAATGCTCAAGAGTAATATGGTATGCCCTATGCAGCCAATCCAATTCCAATATCCTATAATCAGATTATGAACGGAACCGTAAGAAAGTGAAATAAAAAACCATCTAATTTCTTAAACCTTTGTGCTTTTTTGCAGGCGATAGATAATGAAGCATTTGTCGTCATGTGTACATCCATGATACTTATAACAGGGGGTATCACGCCCATTATAAAACGCCTCTACGATCCTTCAAAGAGGTACATGGTTTATAAGAGAAGAACAGTGATGCATGCCCGACCAAACTCCCAGCTCCCGGTCCTCGTTGGCATACACAACCAAGAAGATGTTGAACCCACAATCAACCTCCTTCAGGCTTTATACCCCACCGAAAGAAGCCCTCTTGCCATCTATCTCCTCCATCTCATCGAGCTTGTCGGCCGTGCAAACCCTCTGCTCATCCCCCACAAGCTCACAAGAAGGCCCTCCTCAAAGGCCAGTCCCTCGGAACAAGTTGTCAATGCCTTTAGAAAGTACGAGCAAAGGAACGAGAGTCTTGTCACACTTCACCCCTTTACCGCTATATCTCCTTGTGCCACAATGCACGATGATGTATGCACAATTGCACTTGATAAAAAGACTTCCCTCATTATAGTTCCTTTCTACAAGAGATTCCATGCCAGAAAACAGAGGATGATCAACAAAAATGTGCTTGAGAAAGCACCTTGCTCTGTTGCAATCCTTGTTCACCATGGTGGGCTCTTTGACGGCAGTTTCAACAGCCGTTCAGGGGCAATGACGTTGACATGCCAGAACGAGTCTTGCTATAATGTTGCTATTCTCTTTTTGGGTGGAGCTGATGACCGAGAGGCACTGGCGTTCGGGGCACGAATGGCTGCCCATCCAAACATCAACTTGACCTTGGTTCGGCTTCTTGTAGATGGAAGCATAACAAATACTAGTGAGGACGTGGAGGAGAACAGGCTTGACAGTGAGGTGTTGAGTGAGTTCAGGGAAGGCATGGCAGACAACTATCGGGTCATGTACGTAGAAGAGCTGGTGATGGATGGTTCAGGGACAATGGCAGTGATTCGTTCCATGGAAAATAACTATGAACTAGTAATAGCAGGAAGAAATCAAGATAAAAGGTCACCGGTCCTGTCAGGGTTTATGGATGAGAATGAGCAGAGTGAGTTGGGAGCAATCGGGGAGGTGTTAGCCACCGCAGATTTCATGGGCAAAAGCAGAATTCTGGTGGTGCAACAACACACCAAAGTGGTGAATGACGACAATGAGAATCATAGAGAAAAATTTAGGGAGCAAAGCATGACAATCGATGATGTTGAGCATTTGCAAATTCAAAGAAGATGAGACATGCATTACGCATAATTATATTTTAAAGTAGGCTCTCTCTCTCTCTCTCTCTCTCTCTCTCGACATTAACACATAAATTAAGAAAAGAAACCCCCTAACAAACAGCATGTGGTATTAGATTGAATTGCAGAGCAAACGAATGATAGTGAACCTGCAATTGATCGTTGAACTAAAAATATCCAGACGCCAACTTCTATACTTTGAACTAACCTAACATGACCTGAAAATCTATCCAAGAATTATTACTTGAGACCTGATATTTCCTGAATTGTTTGAACCAACTGTCGAGTTGGCTCTAGTCTTGAAGAAGAAGACAGGGATGCTAAAAGTTCAGCTGATACAATTTGCAACATCGAGGGCGAGGTTTGTCGAACCCATTTAACGTGTTCAATAGCAACTGGAATCTCTTTAGCATCGGCTAAATACTTCAGCAAAATTACATGGGAATCTGACTGTGCTACATCATTACTGAGGCCGCATAGTAACTTAGAAGCATCAAGAAAAAAACCTGCATAGAACACAAACAAATATAAGCAACAAGCCAAAACACTTGAAACTACCAACTTGGAACATTCTACTGGACAATTTATTGGGGGAACATAAAGGTAAATGATGTGAAAACTTAAACATCCATTACATATATCATCATGTGTACAGAAACATACCTGCTTTGCACAAAGAGCGAGTAAATGTACCCAGCACATTTTGTGCAAGCATAAAATCCTGTTCAACAGACTTGTGGAAAACGTCGAAAGCAGCTTGAAGCTTCGTTTCTTGGCAAAGCCCTTCAAGTAGAGATGTGTATGTCATCACGTCAGGTGCAACCCCTTTACCCAACATGTGGTAAAAGAGCCTCTGCGCCTCATCAACCTGACCCACTTCCGAAAACTTCCGAATTAGGATATTGTAAGTCTTCAAGTTTCCTCTGCACCCACTTGCAAACATCTCATCCCATAACCTTTTAGCAGGCCTCAATAAATCTTCTCTACAACATGTTTCAATAAGAGAATTATAAGTCGAAACGTCTGGGCCTAACCCTTTTTTCTTCATCTCCTGAAGAACCCCATATGCTTCTTTCACCATCCCTGCTTTGCACAAGAATGACACCATGACATTGTAAGTCTCCAAATCTTTGAAATAGTCGCCAGAAGACAAAACTTGAAAAACTTCCAACAACTCATCGGTATTGCTATGCTTACATAGATTTCTGCTCAAATTGGACAAAGTCAAAAGAGTTGGGAATCTCTGCTTTTCAATCATGAATCTGAAGAACACTATTGCAGAGCTAGGATCAATCGCCGACACTGATCCTATTAACACGTTGAGAACATCATCGTCAATCGGAAAATTCCCGCTAATAATTACTTCACCCAATTCTTTTACTTCACATATCCGCCTCTCTGAAATCAAATCAAATATAAACTGTCTATAATCGTTAATCCTTGGAGCTACACCTAACTTTCTCTTCTTCTTCAAAACCTTTTCTACATCAACTACACTCCCAGTCGATCGAAATGCTTCGGCGACAATCCTATATGCCATGAAATCGGGTTTGCACTGTCTACTCCTCAGCTCATCCAATACCCAGAAAGCCTCTGACACTCTCGAAGCCTGACAAAACCCGTGAATGATCAAAAGCGCGGTCACTGACCCGTTAATTTCTGAACCA